CACCCTTGGTACAAGGGCAAGCAACTCAGCAACAAAGAAGTCAGAACACTAAACCGCCTAATCGCCGGCCACAGCTACGCCAACAACTGGCTAGCTAAAATGAAAATTGTTCAGGATTCTGAATGCGACGTCTGCCTGGCAGAGGACACGGCAGACCATGTAGTACTCCACTGCAACAAATACGCCATCACCCGCTCGGAATACGATTTCGACGGCAAATTCTGGACGCTGATAGACCTATTCAAATCAAACGACGTGAAAACTTTTCGAGATGTGGTTCACTTCTTGAAAAAAATAAAAATGGAATTGTAAACACAACAAACGAGTGCTTGACTGCTTGAGCGAGAAAGCACTTGGTGCCCGACTCTGGGGGAGGGGGGGGGGGGGGGGGCGTGCTGTCAAATCAGCCTACTGATCATTCTTGTATGAAATTGGTTGCAAACGTAAACAAACCCTGTATGGGTTTCATGGCTTGTTTACGTTTGGAACCAGTTATGCGAGGTAGACGACAATTCAGTGCCAACATTTCAAAGGGGCGTAATTGCATTTGTAAACAATGGTTTTAGCCGTCGATTTCTCGCGAATAAAAGCTCACTCATGAAAAATAATGACACCAGAAGGTAGAGGAATGTTTCCTCTACCAGCTAGCATTGTTATTTTGGAGAGGTAAGATTTCATTCGCGAGAAATTGACGGCTAAAGTCATTGTTTACAAAAGCAATTACGCCCCTTTGAAATGTTGGCACTGAATTCAGTGCCAACATTTCAAAGGGGCGTAATTGCATTTGTAAACAATGGCTTTAGCCATCGATATCTCGCGAATAAAAGCTCACTCATAAAAATTTATGACACCAACACGCAGAAAAAAATATTTTAAACGTAATAATATTTGACGTAAATTTAATAAGAATTTCATTTTGTTTTGGCTGCAAAAAGAAATCAATATTATTTCAACAATCCAGTATCTTTGTTTCTAAAAACACATGGATTGTTAAATCAAAAAGAAAATCTTTTCGAATTTACAAGAGCTTTTATAGTGTTGACGTAAGCTGTCAAATTTGGCAGCTGGGTCAACAACAAAATATGTTTGTTTTTAAAAGAGATTTCTTGTTGATTCAATGATATTTATTTTATTAAGCCTGAAAATATACGCAGTAGAAATAAAAATATGTTTATTGATTCAATTTTTAATAATTTAAAATAATCGCATTTTATGTTTTGTTTTCTATTTGTAACAAACAGAATTTAAATTGAATTGAAAAAAAAACCTTTCTGAGGCATAAAATCTCTCCGGTTCATAAGTTGATGAGTCGATAGGTAGGGTCCAGGTGTAGGAGCGGCCTTCCTGGCATCGGGAGCATTGGTACTCAGTACTGAAAATAAGATCGACGGAAAAAATCAAGGAAAAAAAGAAAAACTGTTTATATTTTGCAACTGCAGCATACTTACTTACCTCTAGAGCTGAATCAAACGAGAAAATTTTTGTTATTGTTTACATTTTTGTCCCGGTGAAAACGAGGGAATGGTTGGTAGTTATTTTTGCATTCATGGCCCGCGGAATAGACAAAACAAATAAATGTTAAATTAAAATTCACTATTGTTGGGTTAATAAAATAATATTGTTATTTTTACAATAGTTGCAGTTGCAGAGTGGCTTATTAAAACAAAAAGAATCTTATTTTGAATTTATTTGAATAAATATTATCGAAACAATAAAATGCAATATAATTTCAAACGGAATTGTTTGTTTATATACAAATAAATTTTTTTTTGGTTCAATCCAAACAATTTTTTGTCCGTGAACAAGTAGATGAATGTTTCCTCTACTAGCTAGCATTGTTAACTTGGAGGAGTGAGCATTTATTTTCGAGAAATCGACGTCTGAAGCCATTGTTTACAAAAGCAATTACGCCCCTTTGAAATGTTGACACTGAATTGTTCGTATTTGACGTCTTATCAAAAGCAAGAGAAGAAGAAGAAGAAGGGTGCATCGATTAGCTTGGGACCGAAGAGAGTACCAGCTGCTTCGACAGAAATAATGACACAACAATCACTAACGAGAACAACCCTGCTCTGTGCCGTTCTTATTTTCGGATTAATTATCCCGTAGTTGAATAATCGTTTAATAAATGTATAATAGTGTCTAATTAAACATTATATCACATGATGAAATCAAGCGTCTATATATATATATATATACACCTTTATATACCATCGCCGTTTAAGGAAGCAAATAATGTCTAATAAACGCTGAATAATCAAAAATTGATCGAATAAGCTCTGTTACAACTCTTTTAAGTCGAATAAAAGCTTCTCGACATACCTTATTCAACACCAAATATTTCGATGTTGTGGTTGAATAAATTCCTCCACATTTATGTGAACAAAGCCTGAACATACGTTATTTTTAAAAATAGTACAAGTATTATGGAGCATGCAGTTGAATAAAATCGTCAAGAAGTCGTTTCTTCAATAGGCAATTGTTTGTTGGGTAGTGTCAAAAATCACGGTTTCAAAGGAAGTATAAGGCTAAAACGAAGGCTAAGAAGTAATATAAACGTTTGAAATTTACGGTTTAGATGTGATGCAAAACAAATTTTAAGTGTTTTAATTTATTAAGTTCATTTAATTTGTGTAATATACAAGTATTTTTATTTTACATAACTGCTAGTGTTTGTAGAGCAAGTTGTAAACATATGTGATAAGTTTTAAGGAAACAAATAATAAACCTACATTGCATAGTGTGGCGTATCACAACCCCACTGTTTTTTCGTTCTGTATTGAGGTCCACAACAACTGTGCCAAATTTGGTTATGATCTGGATTTGCGGGAAAGTTTTAAATTTGGTATGAGAAACGGAATGGAACTATTCATTTGCTGGTCAAAAATTCAAAAATAGCTCAATTTTGACCTAACCTGGCATTTAGATTAGGAAAGCTATGCAGAAGTCAACGGTGAGTCTTGTAATCAAACGTTACAAGGATACTCTGAGTGTGAATAGAGCACAGCTCATCTATCATATAAGTGGCACTAGGGACAAAGAGCTGAGGAGAAAGGTGTTGAGGTGTGTGAAAAGCAACCCAGGTGTCTCCATACTTGATTTGGCTAAGAAATACGATTCCAACTTTTCCACCGTGCGTAACATCCTTTCAAGTCTTTTTGTGCCAGTAAACATCCGAATCGCTCCTTGAAACAAAATGTAGTGGCCAAAAAGCGAGCAAGATTACTATACGAACGAGTTTTGACGAAATTTGATGGCTGTATTTTAATGAATGACGAAACATATGTCAAAACGGGTTATAAACAAATCCCCGGACGAAAATTTTACCTGGCAACTGGTCGTGGGGATGTCCCTTCCAGGTATAAATTTGTTTTTGCTGATAAATTTGCTCGGAAACTAATGATTTGGCAAGGAATCTGCAGTTGTGGCCTTAAAACCAAGGTTTTTATCACATCTCACACAATGACGTCGAAGGTTTACATTAAAGAGTGTCTGAAAAAGCGGATTTTACCCTTCATTCGGCAACACAAGACCAACGTTATGTTTCGGCCGGATCTAGCCAGCTGCCACTACTCTAAGGAGGTACTAGAATGGTATGCTGCGAACAATGTTAATTTCGTCGCCAAAGAGATTAATCCTCCGAATTGCCCTGAGTTCAGACCGATCGAAAAATATTGGGCAATTGTCAAGCGAAAACTTCGAGGATGCGGTAAAGAAGTGACAAATGCACAACAAATGCGTTTAAAGTGGAATAAGTTCGCCGGTACAGTGTCACCAGCGACTGTGCAGATCATGATATCATCGATCACAAGTAAAGTGCGACAGTTCGTTCGAAACGGTGAAATGTAATAATTTGTTATATGTCGTTTGAAAGCTGAATAAATACCCTTTTGTTTGACGTTTTGATCAACCGTGTATGTTGTTTAATTCCTGAGTTATGATCACTTGAATACGTCCAATTTTACTTTGAATGGGGCTTTAGTTCTTCTTGCATATTAGAGTGATGCAAAATTTGAAATTTTCGCTCCACAATACTTATACGATTTCAAATCGGATCCTGACTAACCTCTCAAAATTTGAACCCATTTGGTGAGAAACTGAGTTGGCACAAACCATTTTAAGTTTGAATGGGAATTACTATGGTAAAACCAAGATGTTTGTTCATGTCTATCTAATAATTCACCATATCGGTCTGCTTCAAAAGCTTTCAACTGTACTTGTAGGAAATTTTCCCAGCTACAACTTTGTTGAAGACCACTTCTAGATTAAATGCAAGGATCGAAAGTTTTCAATGGTTCACTGCGCTGATGTCTTATGATCATGCTCAATCAACTGCTCAGCAGGCAACATTGGTGTTTCTGGGGCGTTGAATAGGACACAAAAATCATGGCTACTATGTCACACTGCATATTACAGTGTTGCCTACAGAGCAGCTGCTTGATCATGTCATAAGTTTACCAATCTCTTAAATAAATAATAACTTTCTCCTGTCTCGTTTTACATAGAAACGATCTTCGGTAAAGTTGTAGCTGAGGAAATTTTCTATATAAATGGCTATCGAACTGTTTCGCAGCTCAATATTGAAAAAGACTAGAGGACAATGAACAAAAAGTTGAGCTTTCCCATATTAATTTACATGTAAACTTCAAATGACTTGTGCGAAGTCTGTTTCTAACCAAATGAGTTGTATGTTTGGGAGGCTAATCAGGATCCGATTTGAAACCATTTAAGCACTGTGGAGTGAAAAAGTCAAATTTTGCATCAGTCTAGTGCATATACCTACAGGCGTATATTATGTGCGAAGTAAAAGGTTAGTAACTTTCTGTACAGAAGTCGAATGGATTTCAATTGCAAAAAATGTTCTGAATAGTTTTCTCAATCTAAATCCCTGGTTTGGTCAAAATTGAACTGTTTTTTATTTGTATTTTTAACAAACAAATGAATAGTTTAATTTCGTTGGAAAATTAAAAATTCTTCTGCAAATCCAGATCATAACCAAATTCGTTTAAATTTGGCACAGTTTTTGGGGTCCTCAATATACTATGTTTACTCAATATAGGTTATGTTTACGCAGCTTATTGTTTTTTTTTTGACTTATTAAAACATAATGTTTGGCTTATTGTATCCAAAGCCATCTACTATAGCTAAATAAACTTGGCCCGGACAACAGCTACCACTATTGCAGCTGCAATCAAACCGTTCAGCACTCGAACCATCATCGCCGTATTACAACCATCGTTGTAGCAAATGTCGCACTGGTCCCTGGAATTTTCACAATCACGTTTCTTTTCGGCACCAAGCTCCGAAACGCATCCTCGCTCGGTGACAATTCTGCGCTCGTTTCTAATAAGATAACAGCCACGATTGGCGTACTCCACGATCCCATCACATTTCTCCACCCGATAGGATGCATTGGGACCGTCACAGTTACTTTCACAGATTGCACACTGTTGAGTGCGCTGATTTTCGTTGTTACAACCTGCTTCGGCACACTCTTCAATCGATATCACTGAGCATGCACTTTGGCCCTGTTCCGATGAGCAACCTCGAACGATGCTAGTATCATCCTGTCTGCACGTGAAGCATCCGGTTTCAACATCCGTAGGACACTGCTCGGCCGAGTCCGATTGGAAGGCCCACGCACAAGCGACATCCATTGATTCCTTGCACCTAATGCAGGCCAATGATGACGTGATGGTCGTAGTTTCTACGCTGTTGACAGTTGAAGTGCTTGCCTTGCTTGTTGAAGTGCCCTCTTCGGTTGTTATGGAACTGTCTTCAGTTGATGTGCTTGTACTTTCCGGAGCTTCCGTAGTACTTTGATCGGGTTGATTTTCGCCATTGCAACCTGTTTCATGGCAGGGAGTGCATAACGCTCCAGTACAAGTCGTTTTTAGTTCGGATATGCATCCACGAGATACCGTTGAACCATCATCTGAAATAGCAGTGAAGCAACCATCGTCTTCAACATATTTTGCGCAAATTTCAGGACTTCCAAGCATCGTCTCACAGTCGTCGCAGCGATAGCACTTGATTCTGTCCGATGGAAAGATGTCTTTATTGCAGACGGATTCATAGCAAGTTTCATGTTTGTTTCCATAACTGGAACAAAGCTTTTCAAAGCCTTTTAGGCAACCGCGTGAAACAATTCCCTCTTTTGAAACGTACGATATGCAAGCTACATCTTCGCACAACTCCCTGGCGTCTACTTCATTGCCACAGTCCTTTCCTTCGCACTCAATACAGCTGATGATGGCTGAATTTGTTGAAACCAGATTGCATCCATCACAGCTGCAGAGTTTACAACTTTCCTCCAGATCAGAACATTCAGCGAAAGCTCGTCGACAACCTTTCTTAATTATTTCACCATTCATCAAAAGGCTGTAGCATTGATCTGGGCTGCCAAGATTAAGTGTTCCCACACATAGCTCCGGTTCTGATTTATCATGACACTCTCGTGCACCACTGCACTGCATACAGGAAAGCGAACTATTGAATTCGTACGGATGATCATTACAACTGGAGCTATTGCATGTTAAACAGGTTTCGGTGCATTCAAGATCCGTGTCCATTAGGCAACCTCGGTGGATCGAGTCCCCTGGAAGTAAATAGGTCGTATTTGAGTTCAATGAAGTCGGCCACTATTACAAATAAAAAAAGCAGATCCTTACCAATAACGTACGTATAGCAGGATTCATCCGGACTGTATTTCGAACAAGCAACTGGTCGATCGGTTGGTGTTAGATAGTTGCATTCTTCACACTGATAGCATAGGATACGGTCCTCAGGAAATGCTGCATTGTTACACATGGATTCGTGGCATTCGTAGCAGGTAGCATCGCCTTGTTCACAGGCAGTTGTTTCAGTGCTGCATCCTTTGTGCGTGAAGCCTTCATCTGTAAATTATATGCGATTTAAAATGGACTTCCGGTGTATCGCATAATATAGTAATGCACTGATTGACACAGAAAGCTCTCAATTGATAACTGTGAACACTGGTGTGCACAGGGTGTGGCAAGGTGTGGCAATTGCCCCCTCTTTTATAAATAAGATTTTTATTTTCACATTTTCAAAATAAGAATATAAAATAACTTGATTTCTTGATAACTTGATTTGAAGGTAAAATAACTTCATTTCATAATATAAGGGCACTGAAAACCTTTCATTGCGTCAATTCATTTGAGATGGTGCGTGAAAATTGCACCACAAAGGTGCATGAAGGGACAAACTTCAATGAAATTTTTTGGTCAAAAAATTGCACCTGGTGTATTTTTTTTTTCAAGGTGGTTTATTTAGGGTTAAAAGAAGATGGTAAATTTAAGGTTGAAAAAATTTACCTTCGTGGTGGTAAATCGAAGAAAAAGCTTTTCACTAAATATTTTGTTGAGTGTCCAGCCCCTTGCACTCATCAAGTCCACTAACCGCGATCGTCGCGCATTCTCGAACTCGTACATTCAGACGTTTGCCTACCGATCAAGCCGGTTGGTGTTGGTGGCATGAGATACTTTGTGACTTTTGTGGATGACTGGAGCCACTTTGTGATGGTGTTTTTAATGAAAACAAAAGGCGAAGTGTACGAGTGCTTCCAGCAATATGTCGCGCTGGTATCGGCAAAGTTCGGTTGTAAGATTTCGCGTTTGCGGTCTGATAACGGGGGAGAATATAAAAACCGCCTGTTCATGCAGTTTTGTAACCGAAGTGGAGTCCAGATCGAGTGGACGGTAGCACATACCCCGGAACAGAACGGCGTTTCCGAGCGCATGAACCGCTCTCTCGTCGAGCGCGCTCGGGCCATGCTGGAAGACTCCGGCGTGAACAACTGCTTCTGGGGTTATGCCGTACAGACTGCAGCCTATCTTCTGAACCGTAGCCTCTCGAGCGCAATCGATCCCGATATGACTCCATACCAGCTGTGGGAAGGATCAAAGCCGGACGTCCAGAAACTTCGAGTCTTCGGTTGCTTCGTGTTCGTCCACATTTCAAAAGAGCAACGAGGTAAGTTGGACGCTAAATCTTGGAAAGGGCTATTCCTAGGCTATGCTCACAACGGCTATAGAGTGTGGCACCCAACGAAGCGGCAGACTATGCACGTTCGTGACGTCGATTACTCCGGGATGTGGCGGTGAGCGAGATGTTCTCTCCATTGCTGCGACCGATGATGAACAATCCGAATTGGTTGAACAGGCACCGGATGCAATATTGGACGTTCCGGATACGGACGAGCAGGACGGTGGTTCCAGAGTGGAATCGGTGTCCGAGTACGAGAGCTTCTTCAAAGAAGACCACACTGGAGCAGAATCGGAATCCGGTTCGAAAAACGATGGCTAGCACGATCCAGTGGAACCCATCAGCTCCGGTCGACCAGTGCGTGAGCGGAAACCACCGATGTGGCAAACTGACTATGATATGGAGTATGCGCTGAGCGCCACAGAATACGTCGAGGATTTGCCAAGGACGCTGGCCGAAGCGAAAGCACGGCAGGACTGGCTGAAGTGGGAAGCTGCGGTAAACGAAGAAATAGAAGCCCACACGAAGAACGAAACTTGGACTTTGATCAAGCTGCCAGGAGATAGAAAGCCGATCACTAGACGCTGGGTTTTCAAGATAAAGCCTGGTCTGAACGGGGAACCGGATCGCTATAGAGCACGGCTAGTGGCCAGAGGTTTCGACCAAAAGTTCGGTTTCGATTATAGTGAAACATATTCTCCGGTCGCCAAACTCGACACTTTGCGTTCTGTCTTGGCGATTGCTTGTCGGGACAAAATGGTGGTGCATCAAATGGATGTTTGTACCGCCTTCTTGAACGGGTCGCTCACTGAGGAGATTTTCATGACGCAACCGGAAGGGTTCACAAAAGGAAAGAACCTAGTCTGCCGTTTGCCAAAATCCCTCTATGGCCTTAAACAGGCATCTCGTGCCTGGAACAGTCGATTTCACAACTTCGTGATGAACCATCTTGGCTTCAAGCAAAGCGCCAACGACCAGTGCTTGTACACCCGCGGATCCGGAGCGATTAGGATGATTATGGTTCTTTACGTGGACGACATACTGATTGCCGGAGCGTCACTGAAAGCAGTCCAGATGGTGAAGGACTGTCTCTCAAAGGAATTCGAGATGAAGGACATAGCGTGAAATCAAGTGCTTTCTGGGACTGCAAATTAACTACAATCGGGCTGGCGGTGTTATGAAGATAACTCAGCGACACTATCTGGAGAACGTCCTGAAACGTTTTAAAATGGAGGACTGCAAGCCGTGCTCAACGCCCATCGAGAACCGCCTGAAGCTGCCGAAAGGGAACGAGCAGAATCGAACCGCGAGCCGTTCAGGGAACTAGTTGGTTGCTTGTCATACGCAGCCCTAACCACTGGAACGGATCTGACAGCGGCAGTGAACTTCTATAGCCAGTTGCAGAGCTGCCCCAGTGATGAGCACTGGACTCATCTGAAAAGGATACTACGATACGTCAAGGGGTCGCTCGATTTCGGCCTGGTCTACCGTGCGGATAAAGCAGCGCCGCTGCTGGAGGTCTTTTCGGATGCCGACTAGGCAAACGACTCCTCTGATCATCGTTCCGTGAGCGGTGGTGTGTTTAAACAGTCAGCTGGCTCACCAAGAAGCAACAAACCGTCGCTCTCTCATCGACTGAGGCAGAGCTGACAGCCCTCTGCATGGTGGCCTGCCACGAGATGTGGATGAGCCGTCTTCTGCACGATTTGGGATACAGGAGCAAGGAACCGATCTGCGTTTACGAAGATAATCAGTCTGCTATGAGGATCGATCGCAGAGGAATCGAAGGCCTTCGGACGGGTCAAACACATCGACGTAAAGTTCCACTTCCTGCGGGACTTGATAAAGAATGGTTGCATCACTCTCAAGTTCCTACCGTCCGTCAAACAACCTGCGGACATGATGACAAAAGGGTTATCGGTTGCATCATTTCGACGTCATCGTGCCGGGATTGGCCTGGTAGACTGCAGTGGCTGAGCAGGGATGTTGAGTGTCCAGTCCCTTGCAATCAACAAGTCCACTAACCCAGTGGGTTATGTTGCCCCCATCGAAAGGTTACACCACTGTCTAGATAAATAACAAAGACAACAACACTTCCGCTTTTCATTCCATGTTACTCTCTTCATGAATAAATACGTTTTTCTTTGAACTAGTTATTTCTGTCGGTCTCGTTGGTTTTTCCTTGTGTGGTCATCCGAAAACCCACTTTATATTTCTGGTGTAAAAATATCATCAAGGTGCATGGTGCATGGAGGGACTAATCAAAATGAATAACTCTGGTGGAAAAATTGAATCACGCTAAAAATTTGGAGGTGCACATTGTCGGTTTACACAACCGTGTAACACCGATGCCATTTCGAAAAGTATGTTTTCACCCAGTGCATAATCCCCAAACATTGATGTATCGTTTACACAACACCCATACAAGCACACTCACACACTTTGCTATGTATCACAGAGAAATAGAAATATACGTTATTCAGTAATCGTCACTCAGTGGAGATAGTTTATCCCTTTATTTGCTCCGTTATAACCATTGCCCTGCAACACACATTTAACTAAAAATTTCTGGTGGAAAGTTCGCAACACTGTGGTGAATGTAGAAGCAAAGTTTATTCATTTTTCTGGTGCGTTATTTGCATCGTTCTGATGAATGCAAGCTTCATTGAAAATTTATGGTGGAAAACCTGCACCATTCTGGTTCATGAAGAGGCAAAACCTAACTGACAATTTTAGGTGCACCGTTCTGGTGAATGGAAGACCATGATTTATTGAAAAATTTTGATAAATGTAATGGTGGAAAACTTGCACTGATATGGTAAATGAAGGTACAAGCTTTATGCTGGTGGAAAATCTGCACTGTTCTGGTGAACGGATGGGCAAACTTTTCGGAAAAATTTTGTTCTTAAATTTGCATTCTTCTGCTGAATAGAGAAACAAATTTTAATAATAATTTCTGGTGTAAAATTTGCACCATTCTGATGATTGGAGGGAAGCTACTTTACTGAAAATTGATGATGAAAAATCCAAAAATAGGGGCAAGCTTTATTTGGTGGAAAACTTACAACATTCTGATGATAGGTGAAGCCAGCTATATTAAAAATGTCTGGTAGAAAATGGAGAAAGGAAATCTGAACGAATCAGAAGATTGGAGAAGCTATTTTTATTGAACATTAACGGTGGAAAATTTACACCATTCTGGAAAATTTCTGGTGTAAGATTTGCAACAATCTACTACATGGAGAGGCAAGCTGAATTGAAAATTCCTGATGTAAAAATTGCACAGTTCTGGTGAATGTAGAGCCAAGCTTTATTGAACATTTCTGGTAGAAAAACTACAACGTTTTGGTGAATGGACGGACAAACTTAAACTTGACTTCCGAGAAGAAATTCAAGGGTATTGAATTCTGAGGACTGTTCCAAAAGAAAATATTTCTGGAGATGATTCCATGATTATTCTGCGAATAATTTCTAGTGAATCCTGCAGATAGTTCCAAGATAATTTCGAAAAGAATACCGAGAAAATCATATGTTGAGTGAAATTCCAAAGGGATTTTAATCAAAATTTCAAGCAAATTCCGAGGATAATTTCTAGCTCATTCCGGGAAAAATTTCTGTAATTCTAAAGGAATTTCAGTTCCAGTGTTTTGAGAAAAAAAAACATGAAGAGTTCTAAGTATATTTCCAGTGGACTTCTGAAATGAATTTCAAAAGAGCTCTTAGAAGAGTTCTAAAAATCCGAGAAGAATCTCAAGGATATTGAATTCTGTTCCAAAGGATTTCTGGGGAGTAATTCTGCAAATAATTTCTAGTGAATCCTGCTAATAGTTCCAAGATAATTCCTAAAAGAATACCGAGAAAATTAAATTTTGAGTGAAATTCCAAAGGGATTTGAGGAAAAAATTTCAAGGGAGTACCGATAATTTCTATCTCATATCGGGAATAATTTCTGGATAATACTGAGGGAGTTCTTCTGAAACTTTAAGGGAATTTCAGTTCCAAGGTGTTCTGAGTAAAAGTTAAGAAGAGTTCTAAAAATAATTCCATAGGACTTCTGAGAAGAATTTCAAAGAGTTCTAAAAATTTCGAAAAGACCCTCAAGGAATTCTGAGATAGCTTTTGGATTCCCTAATAGAAAAGTGGGTATTAGTTTGCCATTGAACTTTGGTCTATTGTTGTCTTACTAAGAATTTGTCTAAGAATCTTCTCTGAAAATTTCAAGTAATTTGTTACCGTGGTTAAAAAGTTACAGCTGTTTATGTGCGTTGCAATAAATTCGGGATTGTCCTTTATATCATGTTAAAACATGTCGAAAGCTCGGCATAATTTCCTTTCACCCCGACTGGCGGTACTCTGGGACAGGGTTGACATGCTCAATCCTTCGCACAAGTCGTAATTCCGTTGACAATCCTGTACTCGCTTGTAAAAATAGTTTTTTGCGCTTTTGTTCCAATCGTTATATATTTTTTAAACCTTTAAAATTATCCTATTAGCCTTGGAATGTACCGTATGCGGGATAATATTTGCACCATCGTACAAATAAGGTTCCCGTTTCACCGTAGTAGGCTGTGTATAAAAGAAAATGATTTACTTAGTTTGACAGTTGCACCATAACGAAGTGGCAGCGTATTCGTGATTTGTCCCACGCGCAAATGTCGCAAAAAGACATTTCCATCGCCGTGGAACTGTCCCGGTGGACCGTCAAAAGGGTTTTAGACCGAGAAAAGAAAGGACAACTATCCACGAAAGTGGGCACAGGTCGTCCGAGGTCAGCTCGGGTTTCGAGGGTTATCGCTGCTATCAAAAGGAAGATTCGGGTGAATCCAGTGCGTTCAATAAGGAAAATGGCAAAGGAACACGGGATCAGTGAATTTACGGCACGGAAGATTGTAATGGAAGATTGTGGGGCTAGTTGCGGGGCGAAGTCGAAGGCCCGTAAAAAAACTCACATGATTACCAACCGCATCCGAGAGCTACGAGTCGAACGATGCAAGAAAATCTTGAACTTCCTTGAGCGAAAAAATCCGGTAATCCTGTTCACCGACGAGAGCATGTTTACCGTCGATCCCGTATCAAATTCTAGAACCGACCGGTATATTATTTCTCTTCCGGTAAAAGACGTGGCCGACGAGCACAAGAACGTGTATCTGACCAAGCATCCTGCTAGCTTTATGGTGTTTGGATTGGTGGCTTCCCATGGCAAAAAAAATGGACCCGGTGTTCATTCCAGAAGGCGACAAGGTCAACACGGAGGTCTACATCGGGATTTTAAGTAAGTATGTTCTTCCGTGGATCAAAGAACAGTACGGTCCGAAGCCAAATGTTGTATTTCAACAAGATGGGGCTCCGTGTCACACCTCGAACCGCACTCAGAAGTGGTTGCAGGAACATATTCCGTTCTGGGCAAAGGATATGTGGCCGCCATGCAGCCCCGATCTTAATCCGCTGGATTACTCAATATGGCGCGTCATGAAGGCAAAGGCCTGTTCTAAACGCCACCCGAGTACAGCAAGCCTCCGACAAACATTGACTCGTACCTGGAGAGAAATGGATCCAGACCACATTATTAGAACCTGCCGTGCATTCCGGAAGCGTGTGCAGGCCGTTATTGCAGCAAGTGGAAACTCGATCGATGATTAACATAGTTTAATACTCGGAGACACATCCCCTCTTTGAATAAATAAAAAAAAACTCGAAAAACGAAATTTTTGAGAATTTTTTTAAAATTTTGACATGGTGCAAACATTATTATCACGCATACGGTAGGTCAAAATTTGAAAAAAAAATTAGAGCTACAATTTTCGCTGAAAATAACCAAGTTCTACGAACTCGGAACGATAATAGTAAAGTTTAACTACGACAGCATATAAGGGCTTACAAAACCTTGAAATAGTCAAAAATAACTGTAACGATGCCTTCAAAATATACAAAAACGTACTGCACAAAATTTCAGAAAGGTAACTGAATAAAAGATGATACCAGTACCTTGAAGAATATATTTTCTTTGGTTCATATTTTTAAGCTGTAAAGAAGAGCATGACGCAAAACATTATTACAACGATTCCGACAGGTTTAAGAAATTGGGAGAAAGCGACCGAGTTGCCGGGCAAACACAATCGCAGTGATACCCATGTTGGTAGTATGGAAGCGTGGAAAATTTCAAAACCAGGAAGGGTATCGACGAAGAACTGGACCATCAAAAAACAGCTATGATTGCTGCTAGTGAGGCAAAGCGGCTACAAAATCGCTGTATAATGGTAAAGGTGGCCGACCACTTCTTGGACATTTGGAAAAAGCGGAAAGTGTACCACCCAGTTGGTTGCTAACTACAATCATGTGCTGGAAAAACACTTGGCGAAAGGTACCAAAAATTGCTAGAACACAAGTAACCGTATTCAAAATGACATGATTACGTCGTTGCACAATGAAGTGTTGCGGAACATTGCGAAAAACTTGCGAGGAAAACCAGTGGCAATAATTGCAGATGAGACGAGCAATTGTGGCCACCACGAGCAGTTGGTGATTGTCATCAGGTATATTGATAATGATGCGATTAAATTGCCAATTTTCATTGGCTGTCTGAAAGCAGTTTGCATTGAAGAAGATGAACCACCGCCGAAGCAAAAAATAAATAAAATTAGCTAAATTGAGCAGTAGGGAAACAGTGGTGGGTGGACAGCAAATGCCCTCCTTAACAAGATTCCTGTGCACGCTAGTGACTGTGGAAGCGAGAACACTAAGTTGAGAGCACTTATAAGCTTGTGTAAGATCGTTACACTAAGGAAGTAGAAGCATGAATGCCTTCTCGAAGGAGCGTTCGTTCTTTCTGGATAGACTCGTAACGGATACAAAGATACCTAAGGTATCCTAAGACACCATGGATGTTCCTGACACAAAATACATCAGATGAAATTGACTTCTCGAACTTACCATCAACGTAGCTTACACATCTGCGCCCTTCACATATGTCCAGCATGTCCGGGGAAACAGGCTTCATCCATTCACCGCATTCCGGATTTGTCGAAGAGTCACACGAAACACAGTTGAAAATATCTCCATTACAATCATTTTGACTGCACAGCCTGCACAATCCTTCACGACTGTTCGCGCAGTCCTTCTTAATCTCACTGTCTTCATCCAAATCGCTGAGACAGCCCTTTAAAACCATATCCCCATCCGTGTACTCGTAGCAAGAATCCTGTCTGCCGAGAAGTATCTGCTCGGAGCATTGCTGCCCAGCAACCATCCCGCGGCATGTTTCACCTTCACAGGTAACGCACGAAAGCGAATTCGATTGGTACGCTTTGTGGTCATTGCATCCCACAGTTGAACATTTTACACACTCATCTTCACACGTTTCTTCCTCAATGCTCGATAAGCAATCCCTCTCGACCCATGTGGAATTCTCAAAGCGCGTGTAGCATTCGTCGTTGGGCTTGTACAGCGCACATGCCTTGACAAGCCCCGGAATGGGATTGAGGCACTCTGGTTTGGAACCCTGGCAAACATGACACCGCTGATGATCTTCCGGGAGGATTTTGTCGTTGCACAGTTTACCTTGACAGGTGTCGCACTGTGAAGTATTTTCGCATGCGCCGGGGAAATCTTCGACGCAACCTCGTTTGGTGTAGCCATCGGCATCTACTAGAGTCAAGCATTCCGTTTGGCATTCGAATTGATATTGGGAAGTAGATACCAGCTCGGAGCAATCGTTGTCCTCGTCTGAGTTGCACTTATAGCATAATGTCGCTCCAAGGTTGCAATCGTTTTCAGAACAAATTCGGCATGTAGCATTTCCTGCCAAGCAGTCCTCGTACCATGCATTGTCCATAGGTAGCTCGGAGAAGCAACCCTTTTCGATTATCAGGTCTAGGAAATATAGCGTATAGCACTGATCTGATCGTCCCAGAAGTTGATCCACTGTACACATTGTGCCAAATGCTTGCCCTTCACATGCACTGTTGCTCGGGCATTTAATGCAGGAAAGTTGGTTTGCTTGCACCGTATCCTGGCTATTGCAGTGTTTATCGTGGCAGGATACACAGGGTTCGCTATCGCATACGGAAGCTAACTTATCATTAGAGCAACCTCGTGTGACCGTGAACTTGTCTTCAGCGTATGTGTAACAGAATTGGTCTTCGTCGTAGACTAGACATGGTTTCGAGTCGGAAGGCTGCAGCTCTGATGCTTGACATCCGTCTCCGTCGCACTGGTAACAAGAGATACGATTTTCAGGTAGGAGCTGTACGTTGCAATCGTGATCTTTGCATTGCTTACAAAGTGGATCTTCGGAGCATATACCTTCCCGATCAGTGGAACATCCCCGGTGTAGATGCCCGTCGTCGTCCACGTAGGTAACACAAACTTCGTTGGCTTTACAGTAAGTGAAGTCGGTTGGATTCGTGATACATTCAATACCTTCGTTATAAGTTGAACAACTGAAACAGGACAGATCGGGAGTATTGCAGTAGTCTTCATCACAGAGCTCGCAAAAGGTTTGAGTGTTGTAGCAATCGCTTTCAAGGTCTTCTGGAATTCCGTCACTTAGGCAGCCTTTGAACAATACAACGTTGGCTACGGAAAAAGTTACGCAGAGATTAATGAGTAAATCTTCATTGTTTCTACACTGCTCTGCTGGCGTGTAGTTGGAGCATTTATTTCCGAAACATGAAGAACACAGCAACGGATTGGGTTGAACTTCGTGAGTATTGCAGTCTTCGTCGTCACAAATAAAGCAATTTATGTTTTCATTGCAAGAGTTGAACCCAGAGTCCGATACGCAACCACGATCAATGTTTCGGGTCTTGAGATTTTGGACAGTGTAGCATCCTTTGAAAGATTGAATGGAGGAGCAGCTTTTTGGTGACAAGTCCTGGAGTTCGGTGCAATTATCGCATTGGTAACATGATTTGCCTATAATATCCAAATTACACGCAGCTCCTGAACAAATTTCGTCCTCTTTGAGTTCCGCCCCGTTATGGTCACTGGTACAACCACGAATCACTTCTCCGTTATCCTTTTTGGTTGTAAAGCATTGATCTTCGGGATTCGCACAAAATATGGTTTCCACACCGTTCACCGTGGAACAATCCGTCATACACTCGAAGCACTCCGCAAGTTCTACAATGACAAATTATGTCGATTAAATGGAAGATTGTTTGACATGTCTGATGAATTTCACCTTCTGCATTGCACAAATTCTCCTCACATTGAAAACAGTGGTCTTCATCGTTATCACAGATGTCGGGTATTTTATCAATACATCCCAACTGCAGCACGCCCTGGTTTTGGTAGCGGAAACACTTCTTATTAGACTTATTACTGCTACATATCTCATTGCACATTTCATCGGAACACGAGGTTGCACAGATATCGTTGTTGTTACATTTGTCTTCGGCGCAATTATTTTCGCACAATTCAGGTTTTTCATTACAAAGGTTTGAATCGTTAATGCAAGCTCTCCTAACGTCGTTACCTGAAATTATGTTAAGATTTACTGAGCGGTCGAGGCTTGTGAACGATCATCTTACCAACAATATAAACCGCACAATTCAAGAACGTTTTGCAAGTCTTTGTGTCGTCATCTACGCAGTCTTCACCACCGGCCGCGCTACAGCTGTAACACTCCCACGGTTCAATCAAGTTACATCCTTCTTCTTCGCATCTATAACAAGCGTTTCCGCAATCTAGTTCTTCTTCAGACAGACATCCACGACTTGTGGTGTCGTTACCTGTTGACACTCAACCTATTTATATCAGAACATTTAACTGTACCTATCACCTTACCGTCAATCTTGTAATAGCATCCCAAGACATCATTCCGACTGCAATAATCAAGTTGCTCTGGACCAACAACATCGCAGTCCTCGGTACATTGATAGCATTTCATCGCTGCTTTCGGAAACAGTTTATCGTTGCTTGCAGGCTCCACGTTTTCTTGACAAAATTCATCATCACATATACGATCCTGAAACTTGCTGGAACATCCGCGTACCGTGTGGCCTTCGCCTGTCAAATCGCAAAAGTCATTATTTTTCTATGACATGTCTCTTGATCTTGATGACATTTTTATTTTCTATAATTATAATAACATGTTATAACCAGGGCTGGTAGATGTCATTTTCAATTTAAGATCTCACGCGCTATTTACCGAGATACTTTTGTCACTATCATCCATGAGCCCCTCGAAAACGGAATCAGCACTGCCAGAAATGACATTTGACTTCGATTTAGGTGGGCTACATCCCAATTAACGGGAGCCCACCACTACCACCACCATCGCGATAGTGTTTCGTAGTGTGCCATCATCCTACCTGAATCTGGTGCATGGAATGCAGAGCCGCAGATAAACGCGGACTGGACAGTACATATATACATACATTTATTTGTACAACATCACATTTAAGATTGTTGATTATCAATAGTACGCCATAATACCAACAATCAATACGAAACTAACGATTTTAAATTGGCTCACCACTTTAGTAGCCTATTGGTCCCAAGCAAACGATTAACGTACCCTATTCTAGTCGAAATTCTAGTACTACGCAATGTTTGTTTTGATTCGCTATGAAAGTTTGACAGTTAAAATGAGGGGTTATTGGTTTTTCCTATGTTTCGAGGGGTGATTCGACAAGCTTGGGACCGAAGTTAGTACCAGAGGTGAGCCAAAAAGTTGAGCTCGTTTCTTCGGGACCTACTTGTCTTAGAGTTACCTCTATGATCATACTGTAGCAATCTCTATAACCCCTCATTTTATCTGTCAAACTCTCATAGCGAATCAAAACAAACATTGCGTAGTACTAGTATTTCGACTAGAATTTACTTACTTAAGTGTCCTGAGCGCCATCCCTGGCGCAAAGGGCCAACGTGAAAGATCTCCATCCTGGGCGATTGTTTGCTTTCGCCTTGACCTGGGCCCAGGTCAAATTCCGGTCGACTTGCTTAATCTCCTTGTTTAGGCTTCGCCGCCATGAGCCCCTGGGTCTGCCTCTGCTGCGATGTCCGGCTGGATTCCAATCCAGCGCTTGTTTGCAGATTTCATTTCCGCTCTTCCGTAGAGTGTGGCCAACCCACCTCCACTTACGTTCCCGAATTTCTGTCGATATCGGCTTCTGGTGACACCGTCGATGGAGCTCGGCATTCGAAATCCAGTTGTGAGGCCACCAAGCACGAATTATATACCGCAGGCATCGGTTGATGAACACCTGCAGCTTCTGTGTGATCTCCGCTGATACGCACCATGTTTCGCTAGCGTACAGCAGTACAGATTTCACGTTAGAGTTGAAAATTCGGATCTTCGTGCGGAGACTAATCTGATTTGACTTCCAGATGTTTCGTAAACTCGCAAAAGCAGCCCTTGCCTTCTTGATCCGTGCACCTATGTCACTCTTGGTTCCGCCGTCCGACGCTATCTGGCTGCTAAGATATTTGAAACTTTCAACCTTCTCCACTTCCTGACCAGCTACCGTAAAATTGGATGGATTTCCCGTGTTGATATCCAACGATTTAGTCTTGCTGACGTTGATGTTGAGACCTGCCGCTGAGGAGCGTTCGGCGAGATCGTCGAGCTTACTCTGCATGTCAGAACGCCGTTGTGATACTAAAGCAACGTCATCCGCCAAATCTAGGTCGTTTAGATGCTCCATTGTAATAGGCTGCCAGAGCAACCCACGGTTCGGCACACGGTCGATCGCACCAACCATTATCTCGTCGATTACGATGAGGAACAGTAGCGGTGATAGAATACATCCTTGCCTCACTCCAGCGACTACCCGAATAGGGTCAGATAGGGCTCCGTTGTGCAGCACCCTGCACGTGAAAGCCTCATACTGAGCTTCGATGAGGTTGACGATTTTATCCGGAACTCCCTTGCGCCTTAGGGCGCCCCACAGGTTTTCGTGGTTGAGTCGGTCGAAAGCTTTTTCGTAGTCAATGAAAACCAAGTAAAGGGACTCTTGGAATTCGTTGACCTGCTCCAAGATTATGCGGAGCGAGACAATATGGTCCACACAGGATCTTCCAGCACGGAATCCCGCCTGCTGCCGTCGGAGAGTCGCGTCGATCTTCTCCTGTATCCGGTTGAGGATAACTTTGCATAGAACTTTGAGAACACAACACAGTAACATAATGCCACGCCAGTTATCGCATACAGTTGGGTCCCCCTTCTTTGGGACCTTCACTAAGACGCCCTGCATCCAGTCAGCCGGAAAAGTCGCGGTGTCCCAGATATTGCAGAATAGTTGATGCAACATTTGTGCAGATAGCCTGGGGTCAGCTTTGAGCATCTCTGCTGATATGCGATCGACCCCGGGAGCCTTGTTGGATTTCATGGTTCGGATAGCAGCTTCGATCTCCGGTAGGGATGGCGCCTCAGAATTGACGCGAGTGATGCGTCGCACTCTTGGCGGTTCATGCCGAGATGTTGATGGCTGGTTGACCGACGAAACTTGTAGAAGCTGTTCGAAGTGTTCAAACCAGCGTTTCAGCTGATCAGTGGGGTCGGTGAGCAACTGACCAGTCGCGTCCTTCACTGGCATCCTAGGATTCATCCTTGCTCCACTCAGGCGTCGTGAGATATCGTAGAGGAGACGGATATCGCCTGTTGCTGCGGCTTTCTCACCTTCATCGGCTAGGGAGTCCACCCACGCTCGCTTATCCCGCCTACACGAGCGCTTCACTTCCTTCTCGAGAGCCGAATACAGTTGGCGGGCCTGGTTCTTCGCTCCTCTGGTTCTCGCCCGCTCTATCGCGGCTTTTGCATTTCTCCGCTCCTCTATCTTCCTCCAGGTGTCATCCGTGATCCACTCCTTTCTCTGAGCGCGCAGCTCGCCCAGGTTGTTTTCACTCGTTTCAGTAAAGGCATCCTTGATCGCCGTCCATTGCTCTTCTACGCTGCCACCATCAGGAATATCCGCAGCTCTGGTCTCCAGTTCCTCGACGAATGACCTTTTTACTGCTGGATCTTCCAATCGGCGTGTGTTGAATCGCCGTCCGAGCCGCTCCTCCCGCCGCTGGACCCGCGCGATACGAAGGCGGATCTCTCCAACGAGGAGATGGTGGTCAGACGCGATGTCGGCACTGCGTTTGTTCCGAACGTCAAGAAGGCTCCTTCTCCATTTTCGGCTGATGCAGATGTGGTCGATTTGATTTTCGGTATGTCCATCACGGGAAACCCACGTGACTTTGTGCACTGGTCGATGGGGGAAGAGCGAACCCCCGATCACCATGTCGTTATTGCCACAAAACTCTGCCAACAGCTCACCGTTTTCGCTCATTTCGCCAAGACCATGGCGCCCCATGACACGCTCATAATCCGTGTTGTCGGAGCCGATCTTCGCATTGAAGTCGCCGATGTAGATCTTGATGTCACCTCTCGGAATTTTATCCACGACTGCATTCAGTTGACTGTAAAAGTTCTCTTTGTCCTGTAACTCGGCAGCATCGGTTGGCGCATAACATTGGATTATGGTTAGGTTACGAACCCGCGTTCTGAATCTGGCAACGATTATCCTCTCATTGATAGGTTCCCACTTGATGAGCGCCGCATTTGCTTGGGCGCTAAGCAGGAAACCAACTCCACGGTGGCGGGGAGCGTTTTCACCTCGAATACCAGAATAGAGTAGTACCTGTCCCGACGGCAGCTTGTGTTCTCCAAAGTTTGGCCAACGGACTTCGCTTAGTCCCAGGATTTCGAGCTTCATGCGTCGAGCCTCGCTGGCGAGTTGTGCCAGCTTCCCCTGTTGGGCTAGCGTTAGTACATTCCATGTTCCAATTCTTGTCCGTTGTTTTGCGCTAAAAGTCGTTGCCGTAATATCAGTCCGTGATCTTTCTCTATTGGTTTCTGTAACAGTTGTAAAGTTTCGGGGACAGTAGGTAGTTAGCCTAAGGTCTCCTATCCGCCGTGATGGGGCTGCCATCTTGGGTATAGCTTTCGGGGATAAGCATTTCTTGTTTCAGCCGCTGGATGCCAGGCAGACGCTGTTTGAGCCGCACCTCCATGGTGAACAGACGCTCAGGCCGTGTAGGCCGAACCCGCTAGGGGCCCCCTTCCCTGTCAGCATATGACCAAAGCTCCCACCGGGGTTGGTTACCCGATCTTCGCTAAGGTTGCTCATATCCCAGGAGACACCACGAGGAGGTAGGGATAGGAGTTACTGGGTAAGAGGCTAATGGACCACTAATGGGGTCTATTTTATCCTTCAAGTACTCGCGGTACTGGTGGTACGCATTACCCAGTCGTTTGCCCCGCTGGCCAATGGCCAGCGGTGATGAAAAGAATATGATACATTTACATCATCCCAATCATCGACTAGAATGGGGTACATTAATCGTTTGCTTGGGACCAATAGGCTAGTCAAGTAGTGAGCTAATTTAAAGTCGTCAGTTTCGTATTGATTGTTGATAATATTCGGTTTGCGGCTGCCGCTCTCCATCCTCGGTCATGCCCAATGCTCGCTAGATCACGCTCTACCTGGTCCGCCCATCGTGCTCTGTGCCCTCCACGCCTTCTTGTGCCAACCGGATCAGTAGCGAACACCAACTTTGCAGGGTTGTTGTCCGGCATTCTTGCAACATGCCCTGCCCACCGCATCCTTCCGGCTTTGGCCACCTTCTGAATGCTGGGTTCGCCGTAGAGTGCAGCGAGCTCGTGGTTCATTCTTCGCCGCCACTCACCGTTCTCCTGCACACCGCCGAAGATCGTCCTTAGCACACGTCGCTCGAAAACTCCGAGTGCTTGCAGGTCCTCCTCGAGCATAGTCCATGTCTCGTGTCCATAGAGGACCACCGGTCTTATTAGCGTTCTGTACATGGTACATTTGGTGCGGGGGTGAATCTTTTTTGACCGTAGTTTCTTCTGGAGCCCGTAGTAGGCACGACTTCCACTGATGATACGCCTTCGTATTTCACGACTCACATATTATTGTCAGCCGTCAGTAAGGATTCAAGGTAAACGTATTCCTCCACTACCCCGAAAGTATCCCCGTCTATCGTGACATTACTTCCTA